ATATACTAGAAAAAATAGTAGAAGGAAATAGAGTATACTCTAATACTGGGAAAGTTAACATAATTCCTGATACTTGAGAATGACTATAAAGGTCAATGACTTGTAATAACTTATAACTTTTTAGAGCCTGAATCTAAAACATGTGCCAGGCTAGAATTCAGGAGTGAGTCACTTAGCGAGAGACAACTAGGAGAGGAGAGGGTGGAGGTTTGGGCCAGTGTCTTTTCCGCATGACCTCCCTGCCCCACTTCCTAAGGAAACAAGCAGCGCTACCACAGGAGAGACATGTGCACATGGATGCGGACAGCTTAGAAGCAGGATATGGCCAGTCAGTCACCAATGCATTTTAACACCAGCATCTGAAGGTGGGCTCTATTGTTCTTCCCTCAAATATGAGAATCTGAATTTAAAAATATTTTATGGGGAAAATTATAATATCCTATGGTATTATTTGTGAATGAGGGCATATACAAAAGTCTTAGGGTAGATTATTCCTTCAGGAAATCTTAAGTAAATATGAAAATATTTGTTCTCCATTTATGCCTTTTTATATTTTTAAAATACTCCACAATTGGGAAGATAACAAAAAAATTAACTAGGTCTAAAATATAAGACCTTTTTTCTTTACTAGCCCAAGCAAGGTACATGACAGGAAAACTCAAACAGAACAGGCAGAAAGCATGGCTGTGTCTCAGGCTTACCTTATAGCACCTGTATTTATACAGAACCACCAGGAGGATGGTCATGACCACAATGACACTGATCATGATGGCAGCATTCAGAACTGAGTGTAGGGCTCTCTGGCCCACAGTCTCTGTGTCTTCTGTGAATGGGGTATAGATTCTATAATGAAACAAAACACAAAGCCCTAGGTAAGTATTAATGGATACTCCAAACAACATGCTCCTTTCAACACCATAATTTTGTTTGATTTTATTAAATTTACACAAGCTACTTTTTTCCATTTCATCAGTCTAGCTAAGAATTTTTTTAAACTAAGAAAAACAGGTACACTCTAAAATGCTTCAAAATAAAAATGAAGAATCTAAAATATACAGATGAACTTATGTGTGAGCCAGGCACTGGCTCCATCTAGTGGATCCTTTAGCTGAAATAATTACCTTACCAAAAGTTTTCCTCATAGTGCATGTATTAGTAATCTGCTAGATTAACAAGATTTTGCTGCATAAACTATGTAGGCTTACTAGTGCTTGTCAGAGGAAGATGATATGGTTCAAAATTATTGTCTTTCATCTGTAGAGTGATTGCAACTCTCCCTTAGTTTCTCACTCACATTAAAATACTTTTATTCTACATGCTGACAGCCTTAGCCAAAAGGCTTCTGCCTCTTGGGCCAGGGATGTAGCTCAGTGGCGCTGAGCCTTCATGGCAAGTGCAAGGTCCTGAATTTGATCCCTAGTACCAGAAAAAAAAAAACAACTTCTGTCTCCCATGTAGTTAAGTGTGGCCATGAGACTAAGTAATGCCGATGAACTATAAGCAGACATGCTGTGTAAGGAACTGGCCAGAAAGGAGTGCATTCTACTAGAGACGGCCTATGTCCTTTTCTTCCCTGCTGTCTGGATGAAGGCAGGGTCCAGTGAGGAGCTTGAAGCAACTTAGAGGACAGAAGTCAAGAAGAAAGAGGAGCCTGAGTCCTCAATGACCATAAAGCTGATCCACAGGCATGGACTGGCTACCTCCTTACTGCTCAGTGGGAAAGAGAGAAACCAGGTGTCTTCACTGAAACTAGTTTTTCTGGTTTTCTGTAACAGGGCCAGGAGACTTTCTATAAAGGGCCAGATGATAAATATTTTAAGTTTTGTGGGTTACAGGGTCTGCCTCTATAGGGTAAAAGCAGCCACTGACAAAATATAAACGAATGGACATGGTGACTTTCTTCACCAAGTCCAGTGACTTTCTTCACAACAGAAGGTGGGTAGATAAGGCTTCTGGGCCGTAGCTTGCCAACCCTTGTCCTATAATATGTAGCCAAACCTCATGTTAATTTATACAAGTAGTTACTGTCTCTAACCCGTGCTTTTCACTCATGTCTTAGCCATGGCTTGGCTTTCAGAACATCATGGAGTTTTTCGGACACTTCCCAAACTTCACCTAAATCTCACTTAAAACTCTAGTTCTAGAGACAGAACTAGATGAACATCTGAATTAAGAGCATTTTTCTTGGAGACCAAAGACTAACACCAAGAGCACCATGAATCCACACAACAGTGCTCAAGTTTAGAGAGTTCAGGCTTCTTAATTATTTATCCTTTCAATAACTTTTTTTTTCTATTCATTCTGTACCTCACCCTTGGAGACAAAATACCCTCTCAGGCCTTACAGTAAAGGAGGAAATCACACATTCAGTAATGTAAATAAATATACTCGCAAACTGTGACAAGTGAAAAAAAAAAAACAGGTTGTTGAGCCGGAGGTTTAGCTCAGTGGCGCCAGCGCCTACCTGGCAAGCCCAAGGTCCTGAGTTCAATCCCCGGTTCCGCAAAAAAAACCCAAAAAACAGGTTGTTATTAAACTGGTAAGAACACATACTACACTTAATCTTAGCCAAAAGGCCAAGAAGCGATAAAGAACAGGTTGTTATGACAAAGAATATCAAGAAGAATCTGATTCTATTAGGCTGGGAAGTTATCTTTGAAGATTTAACGTTTAAGCCAAGATGAGAAAGATAATAGGAATTTACCAAAGTTAGAAAAGGAAAGGACATTCTAGGCATAAGAACAATGGCTCTAAAAGAATTAAAATGTGTTATGTACATGTACAAATCCCCCATGACGAATGTGATCATTATGTACTGAAAACATGTATTAATAAAAAAAAATAAGAAAAGAAAAACTAATGAAAATTTAACAACTTAAAAAAAAAAGAGCCTCAGGGCTGAGTCAAGAGAAATCATTAGACATGAAGGTTGCATTCTAGTTGGGAATATTATTAATTTCTTAACCTTCAGTTTTATCCTCAATAAGATGGAGGCAATTCTTACTTGTGTAGGATTAACTGACATCTGGACATTTAGAGTGGGAAATTTATTTTTTTGGTCATGCATGATCTCATCATTTGAGGATCATCTCAACTACTAAGTGATTCTAGACACACTACATGTGTGTCAGTCATAGTGATATTAAGTGTGGGTACATGATCAAGACTGTGATAATCAAAATCTCTTTCTAGAAATCTGAATTTCACAGAGAAACACAATGGGATGGGGTCCATTCTATGAGAATTGTTATTGTGTCTTTGATTTTGTTAATAACATAGCCTTCTTGGAAAAGTAAAAAAAAAAAAAAGAAAAAGAACAATGGCCCCAATGGCCCTGAGGAGGGAAAAATTATTCTTAGCTCACTCAATTCCAAATAAATTCTGTCCTATCTAATGACACCATCCAAGAAACCATTCTGCAGTGCTTATTTCGTCACTTAAGCAAGTGATAACCCCCTCATTCAACTGCTTCTGCTGTTAGAGAAGATCGACTCCCTCATGTACCTTCAGTACAGAGGCCTACGAAGTGGCAATGAAATCCTGTGAAGAAAAGCCTCATTGGCCTTGAGAACAGAACAAAACATTCATACGTACAGCTGCCCATCTTTCCGGGTATAAAAGCTGACTGATTTGATGGTAGCCACAACCACCACCATGCACAGAGTCACGGGAACAAAGAGCATGATGACATGTTTGGCGCCATATTTCAATGTCAGCTCCTCATCTTCTTCTTCATCTTGTTCCACCACCTGCCGTGAGTTCCCTTGGGGCCGGCCATTAGATACTGGTTCAGGGTTGCCAGGTCTCCGCCTTTCACTGCAATCCTGCCGTTCCCGACTATCATTCTAAAAGCATGAGGAAAACTTTGTCAGTAAATCAGACTCCTAGAATCAAAATATTCTACATCAAAAACAGAATATATAACAATTAGACCTGGGACTAATAAAAGACCAGTAAATACTTAAGTTCTAAAGACATGGCAAGAAAGAGCCAACCTGCAGGCAGTACGAAGTTCAGAAGTCAGGATTATTTACAGTTGTCCCCCGAGGCATCAGGTTCAAGCTCTTACCTGGTCCTGGCTCATCTCATTCCTTCCTTTCATTTTCAACCTAAGATAACTGTACTCATATGTGGAGGTCTGGCTTCAATATGGACACCTACATCAAACCTTTATTTGCTGCAGCTGCAAAGCAGAGTAATCTCACCTTTTCAAATTCATTAAGTGCTACCTGCAGTTTTACACCAGCTATGCAAGGAACAAATGTAATCTTCATTATTATTAAGACTTTAAAACCTGTGTAGTGATGTTCAAGGGATCTCTCTCTGCATATTTCTTACAACTGTATATAAAGCTACAATTATCTGTTAAAAAGTCAACTGACAAAATTCTAGGGAGCAACTATGCTGTAAACAATGCTGATGACCCATGTGCCCCCCCCGCCCCGAGCCACACCTGGCTACGTGGCCACACTATCATATCTTAAAACTCAGATTATCTAAAGGGTAGAATGAATAACAAGATCAAAAACAACAAACAGTAATAAAAATAATAGATGAGAGAAATTAATAGGCATGCCCCTTCTCACAGACAAGCAAACAGGAAATGAATGTAGACCGACAGCCACTGTTGCTGGTAAGATGAAATTAGTTTGGTGAGATAGTACAGGAAGATCATTTAAGAACAAGCTACTCCTGTACCTCATTTTTAAACTATGGTATAGAACTATTACTGTAGAGTATTACTATGGTATTATTCATTAAAGATACATTCCACATATAATAATAGCTTAAAATTATTGCAATGCTCTAGGGACTATGATGTGTGCATTGCTTTCAATTCTCAAAGCTCCACAACCAACACCACCACCACCACTTCACAGGCGAGGAAACAGCCACAGAGCACACAAGAGGCTCTGAAACCAGGCCAGCCTCCAGGGGTGCCCCCCACCCCCGTCCCACTGAGGATTGCACCCAGGCCTGCACACTGAGCCACACCCCAGCCCTTTCTTCTTTTGAAAAAGGGGCGCACTCAGTTGCTAAATTATCCAGGCTGGGCTCAAATTTGGCCTCTTCCTGCCTCAGTCTCCCAGAATGCTAGGATTACAGGCACGCACTACCACAGCTGGCTCACAAGTTTTTGTCTTTACTTCTTTCTCCTCTCTCCATTTTTTATTAGAGCATATTAGTTATACAGATGAATGGGTTTCGTTCTGGTATATGTGTACATGCCCATGACATACTTTAATCATCCCCCCTCCAAATTCTTAATGATTGCCTCATCTGCTGGGGGCCTCTTCAGGTTCAGTTTGGGCTGAGGTTTCTCTTTCATTTCATTTTCATATCCCACAAGTAATCATCAAAATTCTCTGACATTCCAGATATTCTGCTGTGGCAATAACTGACCTTTTTAAGATCTATACTCTGCCCTTTAAAAGTTCATAAGTTCATTTTAGGAATAGGTTGTAAAAGCTTTGTTTGCCATGCCAAGGACTTTAGTCTTTATACTTTAAGCAACAGAAAGTCATAAAGACTGTTATGTTTAGAGAAAGTCACATAATCAGATTATATGTCTTTTTTAAGAAATCTGAGTGTCAATGAAAAGAGATGTACAAAGAAAATAATTTCAGAAGTTCAATTGACAGGGCTTGGTTAGAAAGTACATGCGATGGTCAGGAAGGAATCAAGGAAACTCTGAGTTTCTAGCTATAAGGGACCAGGTGACTGCAATGATAAGAAGATAAGCAAGCTGGAGAGAGGAGAAATATTTTTGTTAGAGATATAGGTGAATCTGAAATACCTGCACTGAGGACAACCCAAAGGCAGTTAGCAATAGGAATGTCAGGTTCAAAAACAAAGTTGGAGAAAATCATTAGTCTCTACAAAAAAGTTACAAAAAAAGGACAAAAATCTCAGAACAGGGACAGGCAACAAGAGAGTATGAACTTCTTAGTCACTAATATAAACAGCTGTGAAAGTGAGACACAGACCATCATGGGGCAAAGGGCAGGTGTACTCTTGGGTCTAACTTCACTCAGGACAGGTTACCACTGAAAGGACGGCATGTATTCTTCCCTAGTCTTTACTCCTCCCAGCAATCTTATGGATCTCAAAAACCAGGGGCAGCATTCAAGCCAGGATGACTTTACCACAGAAGTCTATGATAAAAAAATTAAACTGGGCCAGGGATTTAGCTCAGTGGTTCCACTGCCTGCCTAGAAAGTGCAAGGTCCCAAGTTCAATCCACAGTGCCAAAAAAAAAAAATTAAACTGTTGCAGATCATCACAGAAGGACAAAGAACAAACTAACTCTGGGCCGTTAAATTGTTACTCATTAAAAATATGATTTGAGGGCCAGGGATTTAGCTCAGTGATTCCGCCGCCTGCCTCGCAAGCGCAAGGTCCCGAGTTCGATCCTCAGTACCAAAAACGAAAACAAAACAAACAAACAAAAACTATGATTTGAGGGCCGGGGACTTAGCTCAGTGGTTCCGCCACCTTCCTCGAAAGCACTAGGTCCCAAAATTCAATCCTCAGTACCAAAAAACATATATATTAATATATATATTTATTTATATGAGCTGGGTGTGATGGCACATGCCTGTAATCCCAGCACTTGGGGGGCTGAGGCAGGAGGACTGCCACAAATTTGAAGCCAGCCTGGGCTTCATAATGAGTTCGAGGCCAGCATGAACTACATAGCAAGAGCCTGTCTCAAAAAAATAACAACAAAAAAACCACGATCTGTGTTTTCTTTAGAGACAATCAGGGACTTAAAAGCTGCTAAAAAAACAGTAACTGTTCATTTAGGCTTACAGATGCCCCATGGATAACTAAAAACAGGACAAAGCTTGGCATCTCTGCCTTCATTTTGCATCTGTCCCTTTTATTACTTTAAACTTTGGGTCAGACCTCTACTTAGCTCTGCATATAGGGATATTAATCATTTAGAGATTGTCTAAAAATTGCTGATACAAAGTTTATTAGTCCTAAATTTACCTAAACTATGTCATCCCCTTTCAAGACTGAGGACACCTGGAACCTCATAAAAGCTGATTCCTTCCCCTTGTTAGGGACCAGTCTGATCTTCTGTCAGGGGTGTGCCCCCTTCAGCACTCCTCCTCAAACTGAAGTTCTTTTTCATTTTCTCTCATCTTCCAATTAAACCTTTTGCCTGCAAACTCATGTTGTTGCCTCGGTTTTACTTTCCATTATCACAGAAGGAAAAATACACAGTGAGAATATGACCAAGGAGAGATGTGTGGATAAACCCTGAGCTTCAGTAGTATGTAATGGGAGAAAAAGCAGCAAAAGAAATTAGGAGAATAGAGGAGAGGGACAAGCACCCAGGAATCTGGGTAACACAGAAGTAAAACAGGAGCACAATTTCAAGGGATGTTACCAACAGGTGGGATGAGGGCTGCCAACCACTCATTAGCAAGGGGAAGTTCAACAAGGTTTTTATAAAAGTAAAAGTGCAGAGGGAAGACAGATCATAAATTCTCATGGAGTGGGAAAAGAATGGAAATTGAAGAAGTAAAGGAAATCATTCCTTGACACCACCACACAAACACACACACACACACACACACACACACACACACACACACACAAACGCACAAAATAGTTTCAAAAGAAAGGAACTTGGGGCCGGAGATTTAGCTCAGTGGTTCTGGTGCCTGCCTCACAAGCACAAGGTCCCGAGTTCGATCCCTGGTTCCAAAAAAAAAAAAAAGAAAGGAACTCAAACTTGAAAAAGTTATTTTATACTCGGGCTGGGGATTTAGCTTGTGGCACTGCGCCTGCCTCACAAGTGCAAGGTCCTGAGTTCGATCCCTGGTACCAAAAAAGAAAAAATTATTTTACACTCGATCTTAATCAAAAGGCTGAGAAGCAATCAAAGAAGTTGTTTTACAGCCCTCAGAGTCTTGAGCATACTTATCAGGTCAAAGTACAGGGGTAAGACCAGAAGAGACTGCATATACTAGAGGGACACGGTAACTAATGGAACTGAGTAGAGGATAGAATGAGGGAAACAAATCAAAAGACAGTTGGCCTTAAAAAGGCATCAGTGTCCTCTTCTTTAATCTGGCCATCAGGAAGTAATTCTTAAGACTTTCAAGAGAAAATGTTTATGAAAACCCAAACCCTATGAGGAATGGCAAGGAAACAATTCCAAACATAATTGAAAATGTATGTGGCCAAGAAAGGTAACTGATGCTGAACTCAAGTAATAAGAGTGGCCAAAGCCCAGGGACCCAGATGGCAACGGTTATGAGGAAGGTGAAGTCTAAAGGACAAGGACACACTGTAACAAACAGCTGAGGAACAAGAGAGTTGAGAAAATTCAGACTTCTGTTTCCCAGGGAAGCCATCAGCTAAAATTGGGACATCTGTGATCCAAGTTCAGCAGTACAATTCTAACCAGCTTTATGAGTTGATTAAGGTTCACTATAAACTAAAATACAAGGTGTAATGGTTATCTTTACATAAAGTTGATAATTTACAAAGCATTACTACATTATCTCATTTATTCACAAAAGCAACTTGTCCCATCTCCCAAGGAGAAAAGAGTAGAATCAAATGTCCCTCTACTGCTTCAAAACCGGTGCTCTTCCTGCCAGGTGTGGTGGCACATGCCTGTAACCCCAGCACTGGGGAGGAGGAGACAAGAAATCACTGTAAGTTCAAGGCCAGCCTGGGCGACATAGTGAGTTCAAGGCCAGCCTGAACTGCATACAAGATCTTGTCTCAAAAACCAAAACAAAAAAAATCAAACCAAACCAAACAAATAAAACCTGTGCTCTTCCTGGGACCACAGCCTTCTTGTCAGGCTACATTAACAGGG